ATTATTATATTATATTATATTATATTACGAGTATGAATTTTAGATTGAGAATATTATAAATTTTAAATTTTATTAGGGGTATTATGTGTATTATGAAGTTTCATTAATTGTACTATGTTGATTCCCGCACAATCTAAACGCTAAAGTTGTCTTTAGACTGCTTCTGATTTTAGCTATAGATTCTTAAAAAATTCTTCAAAAAGCACTTTGAGGAGATTTACCAAACACTAAAATTAGCTTCTCTTATAAGCAGAAGCTGATTTTGGGAAGGAAAAGCAATACCAAACTAAGCCATTGCCACTTATCCCATATAGCCAAAGCAATTTCGAAAGGTCTTGTGTTACAATAAAATCATCTTTTATAACTTTATATTTTTTAAAATTGTAAGTCTATGTTATTGTTAAGAGCTTAATTTGTATATATGAGAGAAAAATATTACGATAAAAAAATTTAATTTAATTTTTTTGAGAGAAAATACTGTTATAATATAATTTGAGTTGTGAAATGAACGATGCCTATGGATACTTTAAATCTTAAAAAAAATCAGGGCTTGTTCTTTTAGAGTTTAACTTGAGTATAATTTTCGAGTTGAATTTGAGTTATAATTTGAGTTGAAGTTATAACTTGAGTTTGTGTTTGGTTGTATACATTTGAGTTATGGTTTGAGATAAAAATTTTTTTGAGTTTGTGTTTGAGTGAGTCAAAACTTGAATTTGTATTTAGATAGTATTTTAATAAAAACTCAATACTGATGGAAAATTTTAATAGGGTATATGGGTGGAGTTTTATTCGTATTTTCGTTGTCAACGCATAGAAAAAAAAAATCATCTCAATTAGAATTAAAACGAAAAAGTTATAGCATTTTTAAGAATAAAAAAAACACTGTTCATTAATTTGAGTTCGAGTTTCTGAACTCGAGTTGAAGGAGAAACTTTAAACTCGAGTTTTAGTCCCAAACTCGAGTTTGAATTCGAGTTCAAACTTAAAAGAACATAAACTCGAATAAAATTGTAATTCGAGTTGCTTTTTTTTTAGTTTTTCACTCAAAAGAACAAGCCCTCAGTTTTTGATATCTTGAAGACTTTTCTAAGACTGGAGTTGTTCTTTTGGAGCGTAACTTGAGTGTAGTTTTTGAGTTGGATTTGAGTTATAACTTGAGTTGAAGTTAGAACTTGAATAAAGTTGAGTAAAATAATAAAATTGAAACTTAAAAGAACGTGAACTTGAATAAAGTTGAAACTTGAGTTGCTTTTTTTTTTTGAGTTTTTTAGACAAAAGAACATGTCCATTATATTTTTAAAGGTAGATGCAGCAATTTAAAATTAACAACAATACGGATATTAAAAGACAATTTCAATTTTATTATAATATAGGGTATCAAATTAAAATTATTCCAATTTGAAATTGATTTGAATGTCAAAAAAAAAAATCTAACTATTTCATTTTTTGTTATTTTTTGATTGAGATGTTTATTTTAAGAATTTATCTTTATTTTTGAATCATAATTCTTAAATTTTTATAATATTTTTCTCTTATAAAAAATTTAAATTTTAAAAATTAAAATTAAAATTTATGGTTTTAAATTTATGAATTAAAGTATCGTTCATTTCACCGATTTGAGTTTTCAGTTTTAGGTTTCTATAGTAAAATGCACTCAAAAAATATCACATCTAACTTTTTTTGTTATAGTGAAAAGCTCTCAGAAAATATTAAATCTCAACTCGAATTGAAAACTCAAATCCGTGAGCCCTAAATATTTTTGTCTTGGCTTGAATTTTTTTTTATTTTTTTATTTTTTCGCTGAATAGATTAGTGAAGTGTAGTTTCAAGATTTCCTCTAGGGTTTATTTGCCGGCTGCGTGAAGACCCACCCACCGCCCTTAAACCACACGGTGAACAAGAGCATCACGCAGAGAAAGAGAGGGAGAGAGAGAGAGAGCGAGAGAGATGGGAAAGAAACCGAATAGCTCGAGAAAGGGAAAGAAGGCATGGAGGGCCAACATCAGCACCGAAGACATCCATGACTTCTTCGAGAAGTCCACCAAAGACGCTCTCTCCGGCGGCAACCTTTCCTCCGCTCCCGCCGAATCCCTCTTCTTCGTCGACAAATCCAAAGGTTTTTTTTTTTTTTTTTCCTTCTCTGATTATGCGTTAAATTCAAGTTTTGATTACGAAGCTTCCATTTGTCAATGTAAAAAAAAAAAAAAATCCCATTTGGTTTGAGTTCGTAAATTGAGCTATTTGGTTGGTAAATGGGTCTATTTTCAGAAAATAATAATAACAAAAAAATCCGTGTATAATAAGCCGATGCTCTGGATATACATTCATGAAGGAAGCATGGTAATGTGCACGGAAATCGAGGCAAATGGGTTGTCACGTCTGCTCCCAATGATGCATTTTTTTGGCTTTGATTTGGGGGCCTGGTTAAGACCCACATTTCTCTATCACTTTATTAATATTTCGTTTATCAATTCGAGCCTTTTTTGTTGTTGTCCAAGATGTAATTAAAACTGAAAAAAAAAAAATTGTGCATGATCAGATCTTTCAGTGAAGCGCAAGATTGAAAAGAATCGGGCAAAAGTACTCCGGTCCGATAGTGCGCTAAACAAGAACCCGTTTGTGCAAGCTGTATCGGCTTCAATACCACAAAAGTTCAATAAAAAGCATAAAAAGATTGCTAAAGCAGAACATGTAGCTGGAGATGATGAAAAGGTCAGTAGGGTAACTGCTAAGATATAGAAATGGGTGTTTGAATTGAATGTTTATTCTTGATAGGTTCTGTTTTAAGTTAACTCTTTTAATCTGTTTTTGTACATTGCACAGGATTCTGCCACGGCTTCCGACATGGTTGACATCTGGGGTGACAAAGGTTTCATTACTGTTTAATTGGTTGCTAATGTTTTTAACTTTTTGGCTTGTTGTCTTGTAAGATAACATATACATTAGTAGATTATAATCATATTCTTTTTCATAAGAATCACATTTTTTGTTCCTGGACACACTTGCAGGTGATGACAATGTCAAGGTCAGAAAGGTAATTGACAAAGTTTAAAATGATGATAGAACTCTTGATTGCTCTCTTGTGTGATTTTGAAACAATATTGGAAAAGGATTTTAACACCGACTTCTGAGCTGCAAATCATCAATGCAACTTTGATTTGTTTGGTAGACCTTACTTGATATATTTTCACCGATCTTCTTGCAGATAGCAAAGCCTTCGATTATTCCTGCAGTAGAAGTTGATCCTCCTGGGTGCTCTTATAATCCCTCATTCGATAGTCATCAGGTATTCTTTTGATATGGCTTATATTTTTCCTTTGGGACTTTAGGTTATGTGGGGTTTAAAATTATATCTCTATAACTTTTTTTTTTTTCTCTTTTCCTTCTTTTATCCAATTTAGGATGTGTTGGCTTGTGCTGTTGCGGAAGAAATGCAGAAAATTTACAAAAATGAGTTGGGACCTGAACCAGTTCCATTAATGGTTACGGGAGAAGTTATCAATGAAGAAGATGTAAGTCTCTTTTTAGTTCTCCTTTTGTGAATGACTGTTAAGTTTCCTCCTTTTGCTATCAGGGTTTCAAACCTTTTATGGTTTTTTTGGTTAAGTAAAAGTTTTGCGTGTTTATAGATGATATCCATGAGTTTTCTTGACCATGATATTTTTATTTTACTTTTGAAAATTGTGCCTAAGCTTATTTTACATTAGCTGTTTATTCCGTTAGAGGTATTTTATTGAGGCGGATGATGGGAGTGATGAGGACATGGAACCAGAGAATGTGGATGAGACTGACGACGCTGTGGCTGAGGGAAGGTTAGCATCATGTTTTGAGTTGTCTTTATTTGTATTGCATGCCTTTGTTTACTCTTTTCATTAAGTTTGGTCTTGCAAATAGATTTCTTAAGAGGTGCAGAAATTGATTACAAGAATTCCTTCTTATATGTTGCTAATTTTATCCCCGTTTGGGAGGTATACTCAAACCCATGATTCTCGATTCTGACGTTTGAAATTCAAATTTATGTGAGAGCTTTACATTGTAGCAGAATCAATGATTTGGATTTGAGTATATAAAACAAACAACCCATTTGTTATTTTATGCTTGACATCCTTTTGGACCATTGTAAATTTTAAATTTGTGTTCTCTTTCATTCATTCTATTTGATTAAAATTCTGGATTTTCTACCATATTATTAGACATTCATGGCATAATACCACCATGATAAAATCTTTGTGGATTCATATGGTTTGATGTCCCCGCTACAGGCTTTATAAAACAAAGAGGGTGACACGCGTTGAGTTAAATAAGAGAGCCAGACGTAAAGAACAGCTTCGAAAGGAAACAGAATTGAAAAAGATAGAAAGACTTTCTAAAGAAATTGACAGGTGACTTCACAAATAACTAGTTAGTAGTCAACCACATTTGTGAGTAGTAGATTTTTACGTTGTTTGGTTCATTGTTCACAGCTTACCAGATATTCTTCAAGAAATAGAAAAAGAGGATGAAGAGAAGAGTAAGAGACATATTCGGCAAGTTGTTGCTAAACAAGAACGATTAAAGTCATTTCCACCACGCTTGGGGAAGCACAAGTATGCAGCTTCTTGTCTGTAAATTTATAATATTTGCATTTACACCTACAAATTGGAAAGTATATTATTATAAGAAGTTGCAAATAGTGGTTACTGGAAGGTGGCTGCTAATTCTTTCTTTTTGCATCCCTCTTTTCATTAGTTTGTCTTGTTGTGCTAGCTTTAATGTAAAAATTTAAGACTGAATAGGGCAATTTTATTGTTTGTAACCGTCTTTTGAAACCTCCCTGATCATTATTGGAAAATTTGACCTGAAAAATGAGAGAATTTTAGTAGATACTGCAGAAATTGATGCATAAATGCTTTGATTTTAGCTCTTGATGAAATAGAGATAATTTGTTTTCTTTGCTGCCGGCAGATTTCAGCCTGCTCCAATGCAAGTCTTATTATCTGAAGAAATTACGGGATCCCTCCGCAAGATTAAGGTACATTAGAATTTATGCTTTCAGAAATTGGATATGAGAAAATTGCAACTTTGAAGCTAAGCAATCTAAATTTGTTTTTGCACCAGGCATGTTCAACCCTAGCCAAGGATAGGTTCAAAAGCCTAGAAAAAAGAGGACTTATTGCTCCAACGGGAAAGACCAGACGGTTAGTTGAATCTCCTCTTCATGGATTATGTTTTCGGGTTATGTTACTTTTTTGTTAATCCTTCAATAGATGGGCTTTTTTTCATGTTTGTTTCGGGTTTTTAGCAATGTTGAAGTGTTAAAAAGTGATTTGAGAGTCCATTAACTAAAACCCGAAGAATCGTAGCTTGGAGTAAAAATCTGTAGTTCCTCACTTTCTTAGGCTGTTAAAATAGTTTGATGAACCCAGTAGTGGAGCCACCTTAAGCCGAGTGGGGGTGGCCGCTCCCACTGACCCAAGGTGGCCTCTTTTATATTACCCCAACTAATTTTTTTATTTTACATGACTTTTGAATAACTTATATTTCAAAGTTCAAACCTAAATTGTTAAATATATCAATAATCAGTGGTAGTATGACATAAGTTTGGGGATTGTAAGACCTTAAAAGGCTGTGAAATTAAACTTAATGAGACGATTGATTTATTTGGATTTAAAATATAAAAATAATAAAATACAATGATAATTGTGCTATTATTTTAGTTTAGAATTTTGGTCACCCGCATTCCCACTAAAAAAAGTTCCTCTCTGAACGAACATTGTGATAAAGGATTGCAATATTGACCTTTTCCTATTTGTTTAAAATCTCACTTTTATGCACACGAGTATAGAGACTTTTCACTTCAGATTTTGACGAATGACATTTGGATGTTTGCTTGCTTGAGCAGGAAATAGAGCGATCTCTCTCCTTCAACATACATCTTTCAGAATCAGTCTATCTCCAAATGGTCCAAGCTTTGATTATATGTATAAGATTGTAATATTTCATCCTCATAGGATGATTGAAATTTTGGCCCTTCTTCCTTCAGACGTACCTTTTCGTAATGTTGAAAGGAATTGGATTCATCCTTTTAAGCAAAAAAAAAAAAAAAAAAAATATATATATATATATATATTACATCTCAAGTTGCATGCTTTCTTCAATAAGAACAAAAAGGAATCTGGATCAAATGAATGTAACTAGGGCTGGCAATCCGGGTATCGACACGATGACACGACTCGAAACCCGCACGAGATTAGCGGGTTTGGGTTTATCATAAATAGGTCTGGGTCAAAATCAGGTCGAACCCGTGAAACACGATTAAATAACGGGTTATTTTCAGGTTGACCCGTCAACCCGTAATTGACCCGCAATAACTCGTATATTAAACGTGTCATATTTGGGTAACACGATTATATAACCCGTTTATTACCTATTTATTACCTAGGTTAAAAATGTTTCAATATTATTATATTAATATATTATTCAACATTTAACCCTAATTTGTTTGTTTTCCCCAACCCCAGCCGCCCACATTTCAAAACGAAACCCAGCAGCCAAACTTCTTCTCTTCACCACTCTCTCTTAACTCTCCTCTCCGCCGCTTCTCAATCCACCGGACCACCGCCTGACCTCAGTCCACCGGACCACCGCCTCACGCCAGTGTCTTCTTCTTTCTCTTCTTCTTCTTTCCTCTCCACTCGCCACCGTTCCTCTCCACTCGGGACCCTTCCTCTCCTCCGTTCCTCTCCACTCGCCACCGTTCCTCTCCACTCGATGCCTATTTCTCCGCTGCAAGCAAACGGGTATTTCGGATTTCTTCCCTTTGGATTTCTCATTTCAGTTTACCTTTTTTTTTTCCATAACTTTTCTTTTCCGTTTGATGATCTGTGATTTGCTTTTCATTGATATATGGGAACAAGCTTTTTTTCAACATAGTGTAATGTGAAGAACAACGTTATTTGATTCGAAAATGCTAGAACTCTATTTGTTTGAAGGATTTTACAGAGGACGCAAGTTATAATGTTATATTGTTGTCTCAGTGTGTGAAATGTAAATCCGAAGGAACAATTATTTTCAGAAGGAATAATTGTTCTCAGTGTGTGATGTGAAGGGAAGTATAATGTAGCAAAATGTATTTCTCACAACTTTTTGTATTAAAAATTGAAACATATTGGTGTTTTTTTTTTTTTTTTTTTTTTTGGAGTATATAGAGGAAGATTTCAAGTTATGGGGGAGTTCTAAATTTCTAATGATACAGAGATATTATTAAAAATATTCGCCAAATGAGAAAGAAAGGGAAATTAATTAAGATGAAAATTGGTTAGTTTGCATAAGATCATAACTTACATTAATGACAGAAGACTCAGGCATTGGGCACTTTACAGGCCTGTCTTCATCTGGGGGCTCCATAGGATGTTCACTGGCCAGATTTCGAAGTCCACTTCAACCTCAACACCATTAATATTCTCTTGTTGTTGTTGTAGTTGTTGATCAAAATCCATTATAACACCACTAGTACTACTAATTCTTTGCTCTGCCTCTGATCTCTTGTTTTCATCTATGCATGAAACTGACTTGTTTTCCTTATAATCTTCATCCTAGAATGGAGAAAAATGTACCACAGTCTAAACAATAAACAAACAATAAAGTGGTAAAACTAGCACAGCACTCTTCACAAAAATGTGAAAATAATCTTTTGAGAGAGAGAGAGAATTCTTACGGAATCATCTTCACATGCAAGGCCAGATGGGAAAATGTTGATCATAGTCTCGTGGCAGAAGTAAGCAGAGCGCATGAAAAGTAGCAGATGGAGAGGTGGCGCTGTGGGATCGTCTGCTACTGTCACATTTTGATGTCACATTTTGATTTTGAGCTAATAACCTTGGATTTTTAATTTGAATATTTTGTAAATCTTGGAGTTGATTATAATGCAAATGCCTTTGAAGTTCCCAATCTTTCTTCAAACCATACTTTAAATCTTTGTGCAGACTATGGAGTTGATTATAATGCAAATGCCTTTGAAGTTCCCAATCTTTCTTCAAACCATACTTTAAATCTTTGTGCAGACTATGACTATTAATGTTGCTTTGTGCAGATTAATTTAACACAATGGAAATTGATCTTGAGTCCGCGTCTCAAAGTGTGGATATTGAGGTTGAAGAGATTGATGGGTCGAGTTTTCATACCGAAACTCAAGGCGCTGATCTCCAGAAAAGAAAAAGGAAGCTGACCTCAAAAGTTTGGAGGCACTTTGTTCATCTTCCTTTAGGTCCGGACAAGAAATTGAAGACCAAGTGCAAACATTGTAGCTCTGTGTACCTCGCAGACAGTAAGTACGGAACTGGTAATCTGAAACGCCATCTTGTGAATTGTCTGAAAACCTCCTACCGTGATATAGGGCAGATGCTCATTGCCCAAGAAGCTGGTGCAGTGACACTTGGTGGAGGTAAGTATGATCCCGAAAAATTTCGTGAGTTGGTTGTAGCAGCTATAATCATGCATGATCTGCCTTTTAGTTTTGTTGAATATGCGGGAATAAGGTCTCTATTTCAGTACTTGCACCCTCAAATTCAATTGGTCTCTAGAAATACTGCAAAGGCTGATGCTTTAAAGTTTTACAAGAGGGAAAAGCTTCGAATTAAATTGATGTTAGAGACTATCCCAGGTAGAATTAGCTTTACTTCTGATGCATGGACTTCTTTGACTAGTGATGGATATGTTTGTCTCACTGCGCATTTCATAGATAAGAATTGGAACTTGCAGAAAAGAGTGTTAAACTTTAGTTTTATGCCACCCCCACATAGTGGCGTTGCTTTGTCTGAAAAACTTTATGCCTTTTTGAGTGAATGGGGAATTGAAAACAAGGTGTTTAGTGTGACATTGGATAATGCTTCTGCGAATGGTGTTTCGGTTGACATGTTAAGGGAGCAACTAGTTGCCAAAGAGGTTCTTGTACACAATGGCGATCTATTTCACATGCGATGTTGTGCACACATACTAAATTTAGTTGTGCAAGAGGGTTTGAAGCAGATTGATGATTCAATTGTTAAGATTCGTGATAGTGTCAAATATGTCAAGGGATCCCAAGTGAGGAAGCAAAAGTTCTTAGATTGTGTGAAGTTAGTTGCAATTGGTGATAAGAAAGGGTTGTGTCAAGATGTACCAACTAGGT